TGGCTATGAATTACAGCTGGATAGGAATTACGTACTTGCAGTGAAATGAAAGAATATGGAGCCTTTGGTTACTCTGTGCATCTGCTCAAACAGTTGAATTTTCTGACTATCTACAAGAAAACTGAAAAAAAAAATAAAGCATTGCACACCAAAGTGCCAGTATATGAATGTTCAGAAGGTAGTCTACCTTTGACTTTAGATAGTTCAGAAGAATTTTGATTACTTAAATTAATTGAAAAGTATGTAAAGGAAGCAGCACAGAAACCTAAACTGGTAAACTACGTATTGAAACCTAACATTAGCAGTACAATTCTTAGGGTGGGTACATGAAGATGAGAGATAGTTTATGGCTGAAGAACTGGAGAAGAACATGCATCTCCAGCAGTGACAGAGGTAGGACACTGAAACCACTGCAATAGAGATGCTAACCACAGATGACAGAAGCTCAGAAGCTGAGGGATTTCCCACTACCAACAATGCAAGTCAGTAGCCCTTAAGGGGAACCACAACACTATGTCATGGAGCAGGCCTCGCCTGGAAAGGTGAGGAAAACTACAGCCTCCCAGACTTCTGAGTCCGTCCAGACTTTTAAGCGTATGACACAAAATATGTCCTGAAGAAAATCCTTTGTAACAGGGCTGTATGCTTAATGCTTGTGTGCACGTGTAGTAATCATTGCAGTTGGGAAAAACAACTGAGTAGGTCTCTTAGTGAAGACCTAGACTGTATTTTACCAACATTTCGTTCCACACTTTTGATTCAAAGATCGAAGCCAAAATTCCTTTAAGTGGTATATTCTTTATTGCAGCGCTGGATGCACGGGGGATCTCTCCACCTATCGTGCATACCCAGAGCGGAAAGCAGTCTTGAATTTATACGATCAATCTATCAATATTCTACAAGCGCCTATACATATGCATTACCTATCCCCGCCTTCCCTCGCTTCTCATGCTACTTAGGCCCTTTGCACCTTGCGCCTGCGTAAAGGCCTTCCAACAATTTGTCGGGCAGGGGTCCTCTGGCAAAGTGAAGGACCCCGAGTCTTCATCACAGTGTAACTTTTCACCTTTGGTCAGGAATCTTGCTCGAATTGGCACGTTTCTTAATTGCGTCAGAGCTGTGTGTTGCCCAATTCTTCCGTTCTGTTGTATCTTTATAATGAATTCCAATGTCCAGTTTTGAGATTTATAGTCCTTACATTTGTTCTCTGTCCGTCTTGCCGCTTCCTTATCATGAGTTCCACGTGTCGTGTTTCGAAGATACAAGTCCATGTCTGGGGATTGTCCTTGCCTCCCCAATGCCTCCCCAATACCTCCTTAATCAATATACAGTCCATGTCTGGGATTGTCCTTGCCTCCCCAATGCCTCTCCAATACCTCCTTAACCACTTTCTACAACACTTGTCTAAGTGTGATGAGAAGTGGATTAGTTAACAAAAAACAACAAAAAAAAACCCACCCACAAAAAAAAACCCACCCACGTTTTCTGCCTTCCTGCACCTCCCAGCTGAAGATCTCAGTTGGGAGAGCTGAGGCAAAGAAGGGTGCCTCAGCGCCATCTTCTGGGGACTGAGCTGTTGTAGGGAAGACACGAGTTCAGCAGGCCTGCAGATGTGCACACCCACCCAAGCAGGCCCGTTTTTTCTTGATTTTGGTTCTTTCACAGCACTAGTCAAGTTGCAAGAACATTCAAGTACTTGCATATATAGAAAACTATCCTGTTACTGAAGAAACACCCCCGAAATACTCTGCTTCTCACAGAAACGAGCAGAAAATAAATCCATGCTCTAAATACTAGAAAGTTACCCTCATTTTAGTGAGCTGTCTGATCACATTGCCACTGCTCCTCCCTGTTTTCTTTTGCCAAAGGAAAGCCTGAAATGTATGAAGTAGTGCCTTCCAGTAGTATTAGCATTCCAGAAGCCTTTGCTATGACCATAATCAGGGTGCCATGAAGAGGAAGAAAAAAAAAAAAAACAGTTCACCCCCAAATTAGCCAGAGGTAAACAAGGAATAGTCTTTTCAAGATGTAACTTATCCATTGGAAAATTATACAGCCTGATACAACTGTAACACATTATTTTTCTGGGAATTCCTTATAGCATGACATGCTTTAAAGAAACTATTCAGTGACAGACATGTTTAGGAACACTTATTAAAACAAACTGCTTGATCAATTGTTGGAAGTTTAGTCTTTATGAAAAGGATTTTTGTTGCTGTTGGTTTGTGTGTGTTTTTTTTTGTTGTTTTTTTTTTTTCTTTTTTTCCCAGCCAGTATCACCTATTACTTCACAGTGTAGCATCACTTGCTGTGTGAACACATTTTGTAACACGCACTTAATGACTGAATACTGTAACAGCTCCTTTGCAACCTTTGAAAGTGATTTTTCAAAGGAGCTGTATGCTGACAGGTGATTTAAAGCAGCTCCAGCTTGCTGCTATCCAAATAAGAATGGCATTTCACTACCTTCAATTTTAAAACCAGATTGAGAGACAATAGCATGCCTGTACAAAGCACTTTAGCAGAACTCTGGTGTTAGATCAGAATTGAAATGTTTCATGCTACATAAGTTTCCTTCTTCGTATGGGAAACAACAAAAAGTGAGGCTAAGTTTGTTACTGAAGTTATAGTCATCTAAGTTCATTCTTTCCTGGGAAAAGGAAACTTCATTTTAAGTATCAGAATTTCTCAATATATGAAAACAATCAATACCAAGCTACATGGTCTTATTTCAGATAGTTCCAGCAACTAGGTCTCCTCAAATTTGGAAAGAATAAGGGAAGTTACTGTTGCTACCCCAAGAGACTTTCCTTTGTGAGATTTTAGTTCTCTTAGGATATCAGTATTGATATCCTAAACTGCTTGACCCAGTTTTGTAGTTAGGTCTTATTCTCCTCTTCAGCCAGTGATGCACAAGCGGTACATACATCAGAGAACACCACTGGGTTATGCCTTCCTGCAGATGGAAAGTTCACGAGACTTAAATATCAGGTGTCTTCTCTTTACGCCAAGCCAAACAATGAAGTTGATAAGAAAGTTTAGAATAAATGAGGAGGTATATTCATGCTCAGCTTTTACCTACCTACAGCATTTATCAGCAAAAGTCAGAAGACAAAGGAAGGTGATGTTCTAAAACACCTTTGTGCTTGGTCCCCCAGAAAAGGAGCTGAAAGGAGGACAACATCAAGCTAACTGTAAGCCTGGCCAAGAAAAGGCATTTTCTGTTACTTCCAAAGAATTTAAAGTGAACATATTATATCACCAAACAAGTGCTTTCCTAGTGTTTTGTTTTTAACATCACATTTTGACAGTCACATTCTTCCTACTCAGGAGGGAACTTTTATTCCTGACATGGACAATGGAGTACACAGAGCATGATTCATTTTCTAGGCTAACATATAGGCTCAACCTTCAAGAGTTGTAGGAAGTAAGCACAAAAATCACAATCCCTTGACCAAAGCAAAGGAAATGTGTTAACTCTGCAAATATTAGAAATTTTTAATTATGAAGTATGATAACCACACCTGAATTAAATTATGAATTTAATTCAGTGCAGTTTCTACAATTACAGAGGCTATCCTAGCAACCAAATACCCTGGAATAAGTGAAATAGACAAATACCAAAATTGTGTAAGTACAGGTACTCTAATGTACAGTACTCGGCAATTGTATTAAAAACATCTATTCAAATGGCTTTCTGAAAGAACAGCTTACTTTCTGGAAAAAATATGGTTTCCAGATAGCTCAGCAACACTGTTGAGCTTCTAATACTAAGTATGAGAATTTAGAAAAGTTGACAATGCAGATGGTGAAATACAGTAGAATTCCTGTAGGTCATAGTAGCTTGACTTAGTTAATAGAATCTGTATTCTAGTTAGATGCACAAATGACTAAATTGCAATTAACACAGCAATTAATTGAAATAAAGTTCTCACTTGCTTTTTTTTTTTAACCCACAAAAGCTAAAAGCATTAAGGATTTGAAACTATGAAACTTCAAATTTGGTAGGGAGAAGAACAAACATTACCAATCAGCAATTTCAGAGATGTCAAGTGGCTGAAGGTATTTCTACTACTTCCCCATACATCTCAGTCAATAAAGAAATCATACATCCAAAAATCAAGTGATGTAGAATCCTTTCAATCCTGCATTTTACCTTGCCTTTTTTTTTTTTTTTTTGTAAAACAAGAGCTATAAGCTTCTGCTGATTTAATGATAAGCAATCAAACTGTCATTCAAAGCAACATGATGGAATATGAATCTTGCTAGAGGCAAGCACAAGGTTACACACAATGGAAGGAACAATCCAGCTAAACAAGGACATGCTGATGGGTTCTAAAATTAACTGAAATTATTCAGGAAAAACAAGTTAGGGGTCAAGATGAACAGCTGACTGAAAACATCTGCTAAACATGGAACAACGCAGATGAAATATTGAGGAAGACAAAGAATAAATGTGGCAAGTACAGCCCCGTTGTGTAAGAGCGTTACATGACTTCACCTTGCATATTTACTATGGTTCCAGCTATGACACTTGTCTAAAAATCAGTAGCATCTACCTCAGGTAAGTCTTCACTGCTATACTCGTCTATAGTCCTGAAAGAATTTAGTCCAGATACCTGGACCAGACAGCAGAAAACAGGAAGAGCTGGAGAAGAACAGTGATTTGATTATGAACTAAACTCTTAGTACAAAAAGCACCTGTTCTAGTTGAGGATTGGATGGTTAGAATAAGCTTTCAGACGTCTACACCAAACTGTGTCACTTGAAATACCAGATTACATTTATGGATATTAATACTCCTTCAGGGATTATAAAGAATTTAAGGATGCACAAGTCATGATGTGTACTCTTCCTCCTAACCTTGCCACCCCAAATTTAGGGTAAGTATACGAGCCACCTGAAAACAAGAATTTAAGCCGTTCTTCACAGGCATAGTTATCACTGAACAACGGATAACTAAGGAACAGTTCCTATAAAAAAAAAAGATACAAGCTTTCTTGAGCTTATTTCAATTTTAATTAAGTCAAAGTGTGAAACCATCAGGAATATTCTACATATCTATATACCAGCTTAGTAGCATGACAAAGTATCTATCACCTCCTACATACAATCAGCTAAAATAATACAATAAAGCATGCCTTGACTAGGAAGTACAATCATGCTTCTGCAAGATTATTTAGCTGGTTTTGATCGGAGACGTCGCTTGATGATTAGATGATCACTTTCCTTCTCATTTTGTTCTATAAAAATCTGAAAAAGACATTTCAAGAGTTACTCATCTTTTCTTTATAGAAGGCTGACATACACTTCTAGACTCATGTAATCAACTACATGTTTTTCTCCCCATAATAGGCAAATTTCATTCTGAAAACATCTTCTCTTTTAACCAGGTGTTTATAGGACAGAGACCATTTTACAGCTGCTTGATTAGAAGCAACAAAAATGCTATGACCATACAAAATTCCATTTATCTTAAAAAATGTCCAAGAAAATCTGAAGGCAAATTTAACTTTTTAACTCTAATACTCATTTTGTGAAATGAGGTGTTCAAAATACATTTATAGCTTAAACTTCTGTGGCTTTCTCACTTTCCCAGAATTCCGTCTTTCATTTTTCCTTTCAATTTCATGTTTCTCAGTTCTGTTGTCTCTGTAGTTCTGTCCCATTTCTTCATCTTCTAACAAACAACATTTTGGTTTCTGCCTCCTTCATTCATACAATTTGAATGAAGAAAATTCAATGAGATAATGCAGCATGGACAAATGCTCACCATCATGAATAGAAGAAAGGCTTAAACAGATTTAAAAAGACGTAGTTCCAATAGAGCAGGAGTACTACCAGCACCATAGCTACTGAGAGCCATGAAATCGCATTTCAGGAACAGTACATCGAGCCTTAGCACTTAAGACCCTTCATAAACTGGCTTAGACAGGAGAACACAGCTCAAGCATACCCAGCAGGCTGTCTAAAGTGTACTTTGGAAAAGCACAGATGTATACAACTTTTTAAAGTAACCTGAAGATCAGCTAGACGTAAATGGAATTTGAAGTTACCTTAAGCACTCACTTCCACTGCAAAGTTAATTGTACATGCAGAATTTTCTTTAGTGCTTTGATCATGCTGTTCCAAATTAATGGATCCCTAAATTGCCTGTATTTATTCTTTCTTTATGCTATAGTTAACTAGCATAGCATAAGTAGTATAGTATAACAAGTTATGTTATGCCAGTTAATTGCTGGAAGAAACACATACATTATGACTCAACTACTGTAGCAGAATAATTCACATTCCCCGTTACCAGAACTAAGCTACTTATGGCTCCAAATAGAAAGAGATCTCCAAGATTGTTTATATCACCTATCAAGTCACAATCAAACGCAGAAGAGAGGTGATAATAGAAAATAAAATAAAACAGTAGGAAAACATTACCAAAAAGAATGGCTAGGTATAATCAAGAAATGCTCAGTACTATCAAACCCCTTATGCAAATTTACCAGACTTTCAAGTTTGTTCTGTTCCCCTTATAGCTTATTTTGAGCAAAGATTATAGAAATATATTACATTAGAGTAACCTGTAAGTACTTACTGAAGAAGCAGAGATATCTAGAGGGGAGGAAATGTCAGTTGAATACAGCTTTCTCTTAGCTCTTTTGGGCTTGATCTCATTTCCTTTGAGACTTTCTGGTTCTGAAGACTTCGGAGAGCTCTTTGGAGAGCTTATTGTTGCCATCTGCTTCTTTGCTAGGAGAATTTTAAGTCATAAATCAGTATCTTACTGGTTTAGTGAGCCTCAAAAAGGTAATGAATACAAAAAGAAGTAGTTAAAAATAAACAGAATGAAGTGGAAACATTCAAACATTTTATTTCACCACCACGGTTTCTACAGATGAAACAGCTTTTTGGATGCAAGAGTTTAAAGTATACGTTCAAAAGGGATATTAAAATAAATTCAGGTTCAAACGTCACTAAAAGTTAAACTTCAGCAGGAGTTGGACAGCAGGCCTAAGTTTATACACTTACATAGTTTCAAACTAGTACTAAATCTCTAAAGAGATGAGTACTTGCATATTATGAGCTAGAAGAAAACAAGAAAACTCCAGAAATACTAAGTTATGCAAATAGGGAAAGAAAATACCAGATGTGGTAATGAAGGTTAAAAACTGAAACCCATTTACTTGAATTAAGTAACTCCAGGTTGAAATTTTGAATAATCTGAATTTGGTTTCTATTGATATGCTGTCCCCATAGAATAGATATAAGCCTGCAAAGTTTTTGAACAATCCCACTATCATCAACTAGATTATTTTAGAACACAGAAATAACATCTATTTTGTAGCAACTTTTCAAATTGGTGCAGAGATCTTCAGTTTTCACTATCTACACAGAATGTTTGAACGAATGTTTGAACCAGCAAGATAAGAATGTCTTTTGGGACTTAAACTGATCATCTTTTATGCATTCTGCTAATCTTTTTAAGCCATAGAACCTCAGATTGTACATTACTGTAGGAAAGAACAGAAAAGGTTCTTCAGTGAAGATGCCTAGCAGTTAATCTTCCCAAAACTATGTTTAAATATAAGGAAGATCATCAATAAAATATGGCAATTAATGTACTCTGTATTATCATATAGCTTTCATATTCTGTAGAACTAATCTTCTCACAAATACATGCATCAAAAGTCATTATTACACATTATACAGAAAACATGGACAGGTAGAGATGGAAAAAAAAAGGATTACTTATGGAAATACAAAGGATTTTGAATTTGGATTTAGTTCACCTCCTAATTCTTAGTGGCCTCTAATCCCACCAAGATTACCTTTTACACTTAACCAAAACTTTAGAACTGTATGGTCCTTGCAATCAAGATAGCCTTTTCCACTCTGCAGGATTCAACATAGCAGTCCCTAATTCAGTTTCCATTATTTCATAAACTACTTAACATGGCAGACATGTCCTTTAATAACATGCACATTAACAGACCACAGTAGAAACACGTCATTACACAATGCCCAGAAAACACAGAATAAGTCTTATTTATTCTGTACAAACCTTTAGAATGAATAATAGTAGGAGAACTCTGAGAAAAGCCTCCAAGCCTTTGTAGTGTTCCATCCTTTTTTCTAGCTGACCTTTTGTTGATGTAGATTCTTGCTTTCTTAGAGAATATTCTTTTCTAGACGTCTGTGTAGTAGACACCTGAGCAGAAATACAAGACCAGTGTTTAAGCTGAAGTCTGAGTTATTTT